AAAATATGTTAGTCTGTATCTTAAGGACTATCCCATTCCTGATACTATTCCTAAGGAGTAACTAAACCTCAAAGTTTCATTTTTCTTTTCAGGATAAACTGTATAAATTAGGACTTATTGGTAGAGAATGGCTTATATAGGCTTTTTAATGCAATAAGTGTTATTTTGACATGTGCTGCTGATATTTTTGGGCCAATTTTTAGAGCTGATATTGATATTTAAAGATGATATTGCTTCATCTTCCTCCAGTTAGATGAAAAAATGACACAATAATAATACATTTTAAACTAGTTTTAGTATAAACATGAAATAAATATTTATTACCAAATCAAACAAAACATTTACAAATGGATAAAAATAGAGGGAGCAGCAATGCATGTCCTTCACATGACCTCAATGAATGCCTGCTTAGAGCACAAATATAAAAGCTAATATATATAAAAATATTGGCATGCCGGAGTATTGTCTCCATTTATTGGCACTACCATATGTGATACTGTCTGTTTTCATGTAAGCTTGTTCTGTAATTATTAGTAGAAACCAGTTTGAACAAGGTTCTGCCCTCTAAGGGTGGAAACGTGGCTACTGCAGTTATCCTCTCGATTAAAAGCGATATAGGTGTACCTTACAGCCCCATATTTGTCGTTAATGTTGCATTTGACTTACCTTGAAACTTCAAATCGGGAAATCCCAGTGATGTAATCTGAGTTGACAGCGCTCCAGTTTCCTGTGAATTCATTAGAGAGATAAACACACTAACAGGGAATTTTTTGAAAAGTTGTTAGAAAAAAAGGAACCCTAAAACGCAGTCACATAGGATGATGGTCCGAGGCTATGCTTTGAAGCCTTATGCTACATTGAGACTAGAGACTGACATTTTTTCAGGAATCCCACGGGTCACGGGATACCCGTGGGATGGGAGTCAGTATTAGTAACGATCACGTGATTGGGACGGTACAGGATTAAACATTAACGGGAGCAGACAGGAGCGGGAGCAAACCAATAGTAACTAAAAAAAACTAGGATCGATTCCAAAAAATAAAATAAAATAGAAAGAAAAAAAAATCCAGTACCGGCACCGCCATTTTGTAGTTTTTTTCACATGAAGTCTACACTATAATGCGAGTCAAAAAAACTACACGACCCAAAAACCAACAGTGCTTCCGCTCTGAGTTTTTCACCCACGCTCAAAAACAACAATGGAGGGACCAACAGTTAGTGGCGAACTCGACTTCGATAAGTTTGATCTGCAACGCAAGCTGAATAGGAGTGGTGCGGGAGTCATTCTGAATGAGAGCAGGATGGGAGTAGGAGTAATTTCACCAGGAGTGGGACAGGATTTAGATTTCTATTCTGGCCCGGGATCGGGACGGGACACAATTTTTTTCTGTGGGAGTGGGACGGGACAGGAGTGAAAATCCACTCCCGTGTCAGTCTCTAATTGAGACCACATGCGATTGAACAACAAAAATGCGCTTGCTGCTTCGCTTTTGATGGTTTTACCAATTAAGGACCGACTTGACGCGGCTTTTTTATATTTGCTGTGATTAATGGGTAAAAAGTCGTTTTTAATACCTTTTTTAAATGAGAAAGTCCATCTGAAAACTTAATCTGTGCAGTCAATTCATCAAGATTACAATCCTGCCTTAGATTATTATTGTGTTGCCGGAACCAGCACAAAACACGAAGTACATCGTTGGTGCGCTGTCACTGGAAATACCCAGCAACAGCTGGCTCTGGCCTGGTCGCCTCTCTGGGGTTTTCCTCTACAGTTCGTAGCAGCTGGAAGGAGGTTTTAGGGGTTCTCATGAATGCAATCAAAACTGCAGGCATCAGAATGATGAAAGCTAAAATATTTTGCGGGTATTTCGGGTTTCAACATTTTAAGTTAATGTAGGTGTTAATAAACTGTTACAGATCAGTGATAATAGTGATCTGCATCAGCAGCGCTGACTTTCAGCTCCCAGATCCGCTTCTCTTAATAGGTGGTGGTTGTGGCGTGTTGAGCAGCAAAGGTTACATTTTTCACACTCTGAAAGCGTTTGCTTGTGAAGCGCATCAGAAGCTTAGAGGCCCATGAGGCGCTGCCTCACCAGCTTGAAACATGCGGCAGGACCTTATGATGCGTGTCAACCATTGACTTTGCATGTAAAGCAGCTGCCTCTGCTGCTTAAATAGCGTGCGGTCTGAACATAGCATTAACACCTGGACAGAAGTGGTGGAACCATTGAACATGACAGACTAGCAAGCAATTTCTTACTATAAGTTCAAGTGCACGTTGGTTATTCGGGAGGACAAAGCAAAGCAAATATTGAACACAGATTATAATACAGTTTTGCAAATTGTGCACATGTAAATAAGCTGTGATGACAGAGCCAGGCTGGCTGAACAGTATGCAGGAGATTGACTCAATACGGCAAAAGCTGAAGAAATCACAGGGGTGCATCAATACAAGGCATCTAGAGCGGAGATGCATCAGGGACTATCAATAATGAAAATACCCCTTTGTGGCACCAGGCTAAGAACTGATTCAACTTATTATGTTTTGTTTTATTTTTTGGTTTTAAATTTTATGAAAATTAAGATTTATAATATAGAAAGCTGAAGTGGATTCGCTTTTTAAAAAAGTTTTGATAACTCATGTTTTAAGTTGAGCGAGCAGGTTGAAAATCCTCTGGAATCTGCACACGCCAACATCACTGATCAATGAAACAGAGCGTACGCTCTACGCCTGTCATTAGGCATCAGCTGTCAGACTCATCGCAGATCTACCAGGGGAGCTTCTCAGTCAGAACCCTATGACTCAGAGGCCTGGCAGCCCCATTTGTTTTCCCTTTCATGCCAAAACGGATTGATTTTAATCCCTGTCCTGTTCAAGCAATTAATAACTCGCCATCTGACTTGGTGTTTGCGTTTCCTGTTATGGTACAACACTGAACATATTCCCTGGAGAAGTGTGGCAGCTTAGCACACTGGGTGTTTTTGTTCTCAGCGACATACTCCCCTTGTAGCAAAGCCAGCGCCATAGTGAGTTGTAAACAGCATTCCTCAAGTGTTAATTGAACCTACTCTACATGCTTCACCAACCCTTAGGCTCGGTCTGTCAGCACAGTTTACTACCAGCTTTTATACGTACATGTGGGAATGGAAAGAGGTGAAATAATGTGACTAATTGTTAAAGTTAAAAACACAACCTGCTGTAGTTAAGGTTTTATGATACCTGCTTTTTGTCAGAAGATCAAAGACTGGATCCATTTTTATAAAAACAAATAAATAAGTAAATTAAGAGCAATTGATAATTAATTGGTCTTTGATATTCACAGTATTTCCTGTACCGCATGTGTCATTTTAATCAACTTGGTCTGGCACCATCAAAAATTCTCTGGAGTCGAAAAACAGTCCGAATTCTCTTATCTCTGGGAGAAAATGTTGATAAAAATGCTGCTTCATTTGCCACACTTATACCGTTAGGTATGCATTCCACAAATCTGTCTTTTAGAGAAGAGTTTCTAGAAGAAGCCATTGTTGAAAGAAAGACATAAAAAGTCCATTTGCGATTTTTCTACCAGCCATGTGGAGAGTAAGGTAAACGTCTGGACAACATTCCAGAGTTTGCAGGACATTGTTGACTATGATACGTTCTATAACTCCCATCACCCTGAACACACAGTCATGTTTCAACCAAGATGAAAGACGGTGGTGGCAGCATCATGCTTTGGGGTACCTTTTTCTCAAGAACAGGATGGTGCTGGATTCAGACCTTTTAAACATACAGGTAGAGTTAATCAGAAATGCTTTATATTAACACAAATTATAAAAAAATATCCCACTTAAAGTTCAGAACTAAATCTGATTTTAAATCACAGATTTCCTCCCTTCAGTTTTACGTGGCTTAAGATTTTTAGCAAAACAAACTAATAAATGTTGATCAGATCTTATTTTTTATAAACCCTTAAAGATTTTCAGTTTAAATTGCGAAAAGGCTGGGAAGATAAAATCTAAATCAAACTTTTAAGGTTTAATTTGTAGAGAATCTTATTATTTTTTTTTTTATCTTAGAATCAGAAGAATCCACTTTGTGGAGTTTTTTTCCACCTTAATCCCTTAAGAACACAATGAGCTGGGAAGTTTTGACTTGAAAAAATGTGAAACGTTCTCCTCCCACACTTGCTGCTGACGGCAATCCAATCTGTCTAGAGTCTCTGCAGGTAAAGCATTGATATGTGACGGTAACCCTGGGACAGGATGTAGTTAGGCTGGAAGCTAACCGTGTCGTGGTAAATCCCTGTTCTGGGACGTGCTGCTGCCGTGTCACTGGCCCTCCTGGGAAAACTCGCTATGCTGTAGGATTCACTCTTCTGCTACGTCAAAGATGATTTTGCTGTTCTCTAAAGGGTGTTATTTTGTATTAATAGAGCCTGGGAGTGGATGTAGACCTTCACAGGTGTGAGTGTGCTCCTCATTAGCTGTGTTGGTGTAATTTAAGAATCAAACCCTTGCAGTTTAGCTGTGTTTCATATGAAGAACCCTTCAAAGCCAAAACACATGCAGCCGTAATTGAAATTGACAAGCTAATGAGCTGACGGTGTGTTTTTACTTCTATTCAATATTTCGAGTAGAAATGCTCTCCAGTGCGCTTACACACTCTCCATAGTGCTTGGTGTTGTTTACCCAGTCCAATGGTTTCACACTCTGCCAGAGGCTTTGAATGGCTGACTGGATGAGTCTGTAACTGACAGAGGCTCGCGCCTCAACTGTCCTGCATTTGTGCTGAGCCTGACACTTTACTCCACACAGGGTGGGATGGGCGACTAGGAAGGGGTCCTGTGGTCGACCCCTCGCATTCTACACTGTGCTGGGAAAGTTATGGCTACTGAGAGGGGAGAGATTAATAAGGGTTCTAATTGTAAATGTTTAAAAATAGCACAATGAATTCACTGTTTAAGGTGTATGGCAGGTTCCTAATTTCTTCTATTTTTCTCTCTTTCCTGTTACTTTAGTCATAACCAAAGGACCACATCATTTATTCATCCTGTAACGGGACAGATTTCCTCAGAGAACGTGGACTTCCTCCTGCAAGAACAGTAAGTGAACAAATGTTACACTTTTTACTACTTTTAGCCAGAGAAATAGACCCGTTGAAGCCATTAATTATCTTTCTATCAATAATAAAAGGTCTATAGCTACACTAAAATTTGTTTAGATCATTTTCCATTAATAATATTAAATTATTTCTAAAAGGAACATAATATCAATAAATTGAAATAAATAATCTTTGTGGTTTAATTTTCTGTTTAAACACAACAGCTGCATCGAGAAATGTTCTGTACCGCTTGAATTATAGCTGCTTTTTTTATTTCTTGATTTCTTTGTTTTGGATAAGGGGGAATGCTAATGCTTTTCTGAAGGACGTGCATTGAAGGTTTGTTCTTACTATGTTGCCGGTTGCTGCACCAGAAATGAAGAAAATACTGCTCTCTACTTCTTTAGACCAGGAGCCAAGAATTGCACCTGGGCATACTTTTAGTTCGATCTGTTTTTCCTCTATTCAGGGCTTGCCAACATTTTTAAGTTTTTATTCTGAACCAAAAACACAGCTTTCCCTGGTCTTAAGGCTGCTGAAAGTTGCTTACATTTTATTTTGAAAGTATTATTATTTTTCTACACATCTCTCTCATGTAGGAGAATCAATGTTTTCTTCTTTTTGGAAGCATTACAGTTTTTTTTTTTTACTGTGAACAGTTCCTCAGAATTGTATTGCATAGTTGAAGTGAGGTGGTTTGAGGTGAACTGAAGTGTAGAGAGTAGGTTTGCTAAAAATGTTTTCATGTATAAAAATGAAGCTTACAAAAGCAGTCACATATGGAACAGTTAGTAAAATTAGTGTTAGAATAAGCAGGCGATGAAACTGCAGGGGAAAATATCAGGAAAACAGAATGCTGAGCAAAACAATTGAGCAGTTAACTATGATGGCGTAATAGGGCCAGGTGAGAGATAAAAAAAAAATAAATCATAATAGAAAGTCATAACATATTACAAGAATAAAACTGTAACATTACGAGAATGAAATCATAACATTACGAGAAAAAAGTTGTAATATTACAAGGATAAAATTGTAACATTATGAAAATAAAATCATAACATTACGAGAATAAAGTCGTAAAATTACGAGAATAAAGTTGAAAATTACAAGAATGAAATCATAATACCACAACCTGTTTCAGAAAAAAGCTTCGAGCTCCAACCAGCATATGACGGCTGACCAGCACCATCAAACAGCAACCTAAGTCCACTTTAACATACTGCCCAATTTAATACGGATGTGTTTAAAGATTTCCTTATTTGTCAAACTGATGCCAAAAAATGTCACATGATGCTCGACAATCCTAATTTTAGGGAAGAAAGTGCTTCTTGTAAGAGTTGTCATAAAATACAACTTTATTTTTTGTATTATTAGAACCTTATTCTTATAATGTGACGACTTTATTCTTGTAATTCTATAACTTTATCCTTGTATTTTTATGACTTTATTCTCATAATATTAGGACTTATTCTCGTAATGTTGCAACTCTAGTCTTGTAATTTTATGACTTAATTCTCGCTTTATTCTCATAATGTTACAATTTTATTCTTGTAAAGTTGTGACTATTCTTGTAATTTTATTACTTTATTCTCGTAATATTAGGACTTTATTCTCGTAATGTTACCATTGTATTCTTGTAATTTAATGACTTTATTCTCGTTATGTTACGACTTTATTCTTGTAATATTAGGACTTTATTTTTGTAATGTTACGACTTCTCATAATGTTGCGACTGTATCCTTGTAATTTTATAACTTTATTCTCGTTATATTAGGACTTTATGTAAAGCAAGCCAGAAGATCTACCCACATGATTCTTTAAGAGGGGAAATAAACTAGGAAGCTTAACACAAAAGAATGAACTACTATGGAAGCACCTTTTCAACTTTTGTAAACTCAGAAAAATAAATTAATATAGCAAAAACTTAAATTGCAAAGTTTAAAACAGAAAAGAAAAAAAAAAAAAAGGATGAAAATATTAACAAACCCCAAAAAATATTCAGTAATACTGAATAAAGATCAAAGACCATAAAAACCAAAGTAAAAACCCAAACACCTGGGGTGGTTACAGGGCTCTGGTGTAATATTGCTAGATTGACTTGTGATGTGCACAATCGTCTGGCAGCAAGAAGGTCCTTTTTTCAAATCCCAGTGTGGGCTCATTCTACATGGATTTTTGCATTTTTATACCTGGTCATGTTTGGGCTTTGGCTTCCGCTTTCAACTCTACTCTCAAAGACAGCATGACTGTTAGCTAAATTGAGAGAAATATCTATATATATTAATTTTAAGGCTTTCCGTTTCAGCAAAGTAGGAGACTAGAAAACACAAAGCAGTGATTATATTGTGGATTATAGAATTGAAAATTCCTTTAATGTCACACAATAGGAAAATTGTGGTGTTTATAGCAGCAAATGTTATAGTAGAAGTGTTCACACAATGTGTACCTTAGAAAAGTGTATAAAAATAACAGATAGGAAAATAAAACAAAAAGAGCATTGTATAGTGTTTTACAATATAATACTCTGTGTCTGGGTAATGACAAATCAATAACAGCTGTGGACATTTTAACAGTAATGGATATGTGAAAAATGGCAGCAACTAGAGAGATGATTTTGCACCAGAGATGTGCAAAAAA